GCTGAGCGCATTGGGCCGAGCCTGGGGCGGCGGAGCGCGCTCCCCTTCGAGTCCTCGCGCGGCCTTCCCGTGGCGAGGAGCGCCTGCCTGGCCAGCGGCCACGAAGCGCGGCTACCTACCCTCGCCTGGGGAAGCCAAAAGGTAGCCATACCGCTACTCCCCGGACCTCTCCCGGGGTGCGTTCTGACCAGGACTTCGAGGCGAATCCCGTGGTGGCGGCGAGAGAGGCCCAGGAGGCCCAAAGGGGGAAAACGAGGAGAGTGTAGAGGTATGGGTACCTTTTTCCTCCTCTGATCGCTGGCGCCGCGGGCGACCTGGGAGAAGGGAGCGCGGCCACACCGACGGCTCGGACAGCGCCCGAGGGCGCGGCGCACAAGGTTTGCCCATCCACGGGGCAGGGACTGGCACCAGGAGGCCTCAGGGCCTCAGGGCCCCCGCCGGCGCCGCCTCCCGGAAGCAGCGGCGCAGCTGCACAAGCACGCTGCGAGCCCTCCTCCTCCTCCTCCTCCTCCTCCTCCTCCTCCTCCTCCTCCTCCTCCTCCTCCTCCTCCTCCTCCCCCTCCTCCCCATCCTCCCCCTCCTCCTCCTCCTCCTCCTCCTCCTCCTCCTCCTCCTCCTCCTCATCATCATCCTTCTCCCTTGCCATTCGCTGTATGTCGCAGCGACGTGCTGCCGATCAGTGAGGCGATACCGACAGCGAAACACCACAGTCCTGGACGGATTGCCTGCGAACCCTCGACTCCCATGGAGCGCGTCTTCATCCTGCTCGCTGTTCTGGGCCCAGACAGTTCCATCAGACGAAGCAGCGCATAGCTGTCCCAATCGCCTGCTCATACGAGTCATTCACGTCGAAGCGCCACGATCTTCTTCTTACACGTTCTTGTGGCTGTCGCGGCTGCACCTGCAATGAATTGGCCATGCCATCTCTCGCTTCGCAACAGCATTTATCATCCGATCTCCACCTACAACCATCACCTCCAGTGAAATACACCTCCTCGATTCATCGCAACGTCCTCCTCAATCATCGCGCGGCTCCGTCGACGCTCCTGTTCTTGCATCCTCCTACGCCTACGACAAGGTATGCAACGCCGTCATGTCTCAACATATCGCTCCTGATGCATGGTTAGACACCCTGCTCCCTTCCATCGCAACCATTTCGATGCAGAATCCGTCTGCAACACTCTGAACACGTTTTGAAATCCCGACAACATACCTTCGATCTACATAACTGTATCCTGCCCATCGTGATCCATGGTGGCGGCACGGGCAATCCGCTCTGAACGAGCGCTGCCACTGGAAACAATCTTCCTGCACAACTGGGCAATCCACACGCACACAGGAAAACATGCATAGATGTCTCAGCTACATGGCACTGGCAATTCTACTCACATGACCGCGCTTGACGTCGCCCCCTTTAAATAATCCGACCATAGCATTGGGCAAGACATGGGACTCTATCGAAATCCTGCTGCAAGACAGCGATGCCCTACTCGTCGGAGCGCTGATTGACACATGGAATGGACCCCATCGGCCTGGCATCCGATCCGGGGTGCCACTGCCGTCGGGCATGAGGCACGCCATGGCACAGATTGCGCGCCCGAGCGTGGGAAACAGGAAGGCATCGATACCGCTACCTCCCCGGGCTCATCCTGGGGTGTGCTCTGACCCGACGAACTTCGAGGATGCTCACGAGCGGCGAACATGTCGGCCTCCACGCCCTCGCGGTCCGGATGCTCGCGCGCGATCCCGCGAAGACGCGGTCGTGCGGACGCGTCCCGCGCGGGGCACCCGCGAAGGAAAAACGCCCTGCACCCGCGGGGTCGCGGCCCGAGGGCCGGGCCCCAGAGGCCACGGATGCGGACGTGCTTGCCGCCCGCGGGAGGGTCCGACACGTGGCCGCGGGGGCCCCCGAGGCGAGCAGCGGTGTGGGGATGCTGCCCTCCTCTGTGGGTCGGCTGCCAGCGAGCGGCACACGCGGCCAGCGAGCCGCTCCGGGAAGTGGAGCGTGGATTCGCCAGGGTGCCGTGCAATTGCGCGGCTCGGAGTGGGCAGGCTCAGGTCGGGCATGTCCCCCTACAGGCGGATTTCGGAAGCAAAATAGAACATCCCCCCAAAATGCGCAAACAATCTTAAAATAAAGCAAGAAAAAAACCCAAACTTCGTCCCGAGACTACTTTTTAACTACTTTTGAGCATCCCTCCTGTAGCGGGACATGCCCGACTTCAGGGCAAGCCAGAATGCCTTCGCGGGCCAGCTCGCGACGTTCCCGCCGGCCCGCCGGCTGCTAGGTGTCGCTGCCTGCCGTCGGCCCCCAGGGCGCGTGGGCCTCTCGCATCTGGCTCGGCATCGCTCGCGGCCGAGAGCTGCCCGGGTCGGGTGGGGCCCCTCCTCGCCCGCGTTGGCAGGAGGGCGAGCGATGGCGAGTACTCAGAGCGAGGACGGGCCCAAGGCCTGTGGAGCGCTCGGACGTGAAGCTCGTCGCCAGATGCTCGGCACCCAATCGCTGCAGGTAGGCGTGAGCGCCAACGCGCAAGATCAGAAGTTGGGGAGCGGTCGAGGCTTTCACGACAGTCAGTTCGGTGCATGATCGTGACTCCCCGTGACGCTTCGAGCCTGATCGGTGGATTCCGAAGACTACGGAAGCACAGGGTCGTAGGCCTGCCTCACGATGCGGCACCCACAATTTGCACACCTCTTGGCAGAATGTTTAGGACTTGCGTCTCAAGCTTGTTGAAGAAACGCAGAGGACAATTCATCCCGACAAGTTTCAACTGAATCCATGCTAGTTTCGAAATCCCCAATCAGTGCTTGCACTGAAAGGGTCCTAACGGATCCTGAGAATTTGACGAAAACGGGCGGCCGATTTCGGTGAGCCGCTGGGTTCCCGGGTCCCTGGTTCCCGGTTGTCGGGTTCCCGGGTTTCTGGCGTCCTTTTCGATCGGTCTCGCCAGTGATTTACTTACCCACCTATCGATCGCACGATCAATCTCACGATCGATCTCACAATCGATCGCGTTATAGATCGCACGAACGATCTCACTGAACCAACTTCACTATCGGTCTCAGGATCGACCTTACAACCGTCTTCACCATCGGTCCCACTATCGATCTCATTCCCGATATCACAACCGATCTCAATATCCAGATCACGAATGTTCCAACCATCCACTGATTGGGGTGATCCTCTGGTGTAATACATGTCCGAGGGATGCGCGCACCTGGGGACAACTACATATGCAACATATGATGGGCCTGTTTTCGACCAACATCACCATAAGTTGGCAGAAGAGGGGGTCCTCCTCCTCCTTCTCCTCCTCCTCCTGCACCTCCTCCTCCTCCTTCTCCTCCTCCTGCTCCTCGGGGCGATGCACGACGCATTCGGTGACGAGGGGGCCGAGGGAGAAGCCAAGAAGGTACTCGCGTCGTGGATGGAGGCAGCAGGTCCAGAGGAGTACGGGAAAGCATACGTGGAAGAGTTTTTCAGGATGTTCCGACTGCGGGAGTGCTACAGCCCAGACGGAGCGCCAGAGCAGGAGCGCAAGGCAAAACTTCAGTACTCGCTCAACATGAGCCCCGACCTCAGGACGGTGATCCACCTGGCCACGGGACCCCCAGCTCAAGTTCCCACGGTAGACATGAGGGCCTTCCAGAGCGCCTTCACCCTGGGGTTGATCAAAGCGGGGGGATCCAAGCCGACGGGAGCGGGACCCAGGACGGAGTTGGAGAGGACAGTGGAGCGCCAGTTGAGGAATTTCCAGAGAGTGTGATGCATCACGCGTGCGTGTTGGCCCGTGATCCTCGTAAGCTCGCCAATCTTTACAAGATGCGGGACAATGGGGTGCAGAGGGTCGGGCAGCTAGTCAGAGCAGTAACATTCGTTAGGCGTCAGATGCCCCACCAGTTGCAATATACGTATTCAATTGGACCATATGTTTTACTGGTGACGCACAAGCACCACACGAATGGTTAGAGAAGAGGGACTTTTTGTTGAGAGTAGCCGTCTTTATCAAGCTGCAGAGGGACTTGCGCTGCGCAGATTGCCAGCACATCTGTATTGCGTGTATTGCTTGTACGCCATGGCGTCTGGATCAGCACACTCCACGGGGACAGCTGCCACGGCGGGGACGGCGCCGACTGTAGCTACGGGAGCGAATGCAGTGCCAGTCCCACAGCCGCCGAGCGTGCGCCCACCAGGGCCGATTCGCTCGAAGGCTGCACCGACCCGCAGGAACCAGACAGACCAGGTGAGAGTTCAATCGGCACAGCAGGCCCATGTCAAGACGGGCCGCCTGCTGCGCGAGCATTACTCTACGATTCTTGGGCAGTGCAGTCTCCTGAACAGCCAGCTCCGCCTCCTCCAGCTCCAGAGGGATCGTATTATGACCCCAGTCGTGAATGATACGCAGCTCGAGGCTGACCGCATCACCACGCGTCGCAACATCGACAGTCAGATACACTACTTGAGAGATGAGATAGACCGTCTGCATGAATGCATACGTGTGCTGGATGAATCTGACTTGGGAGTGCAGCGCTTCGACTGGGAGATCTCGAGGCCGAGTGGGAGCAGTGAGCGTGAGGAGGGGCAATAGCTAGCGCAGCTCGTGTCGTCCCCCCCCCTCCTCCTCGAGAGCTTGCTGCTGCTGCTTGCCTACCCCCTCCGAATGGGCTGGGCCCCCGCCCCGACCTGCACGGGCTGTTCGGCCTGCAGCGCACGGTGTACGTGAAGCAGGACCGCCCACGGACCCGTGCGGGGGATGGCTGGGCAGGGACGGCTCCTCCTTTCCTCCTCCTCCTTCTCGATCCGAGCGAATTGGTTAGACTCCCAGGCCTCGATGAGGCCAGAGAGATTCAGCAGTGTTAGGTGCGAGGCTCGCCCCATGAGGGGGTAACCTCGCACATCCCGAGTCTGGAGGTGCAGAATGCGACGGGACGCCTCTGCCGAAGCGGCAGCGCTTGCAGCAAGAGGCTGCGGCGTTCGCCGTAGGCGGCAAGGGAGAGACAGGCACACGTCCCATCCTTGTTTGCTTCCATTTCTTTCCTAGGGGCCCGATGCGATGCAAGCGATTCGGACATGGTGGCGAGACACTGGGCACACACAAACCAATCCTGTGCGCGTTGACAGCACGCGCAGCAGCCAACCGTCATACATGCTGCCCCTCTTGATGCACCAAATCGGGCCCGACGTTTTGCATTAACGTCATCACTGCAACAACAATCGAATCAAGTCAAGATGTGGAATCAGTCGCGCTTTCCCAGATCTTCTGCGCGCTCATGGTGTTAAGTCGGGCCTGTCCCCCATACAGGCGTATTTTGGAGGAAAACCAAAACATAGTCGAACAGACTCTAACATTGTCAAAATTAGTAAAGCAATCCTCCATCTACTATTTTTAGTGTTTTTGAATATTCCCCCTGCAGAGGGACAGGCCCGATTTATTCATGGTGCCACATCCTCTCTCAACTGGCACTCTTACCCGCCCCGAGCTGTGGCAAGGCACCGTCGTGGAATCTTTCGACGCGGATGCGAGGCCCTCCGCCGCCTTCTTGCTGCTCCTCCCCTCCGCACATGTGCAGTGTCGACAAGCCCGCTGGCAAACCACACCTGCCCTCAAAGGCTTCCTTCCGCCAACTTGCTCCCGCGGGCCAGACGCCAAATGCGGAGCGGCTCGCCCTTGACAGCCTCAAGATGGCCCCATATACCCCAATGTTGATTTTCAAGACGGCGTAATATGGACCAAGTTGGCCTCACGCCTGACCCTAAGGCTAGCATCTGGCTCAAGTGCCCCCCCGTTGCTCCCCAGGATGCCCCCGAGCCGCCAAAATCATGGACTATTCGCTGCTTCGGCTTCCGATGCGCCCCCGAGGTCTCCGGAAGGCCCAGGAGCGGCCCAAGCTACGGGCGGGCCACAATGGCCCGAATGAAGCCATACGTGCAGGCTCCCACGCACAACCCAGCAATGCTCCATGACATGCACAAGAGGCGACTGTACGGACACCAAGGGGGTGGCGACAGTTGCTGCGTTTTCTGGCAGTTGCCACCAGCCTCGCCTAAAGAGGGACGGGGGGCCCCACTGGCCCAAACGATGGACCCGAGAAAGCCCCAAAGGGTGCTCCAAGTGGTCTCGAAGATGGTCCGAATAGGCCTCCAACGTGCTCCTCCTTGAACGCGGCACGGGAGCGTTGGCTGCCCCGATACGCAACAAGCAACTCAGAGCGTGCGGACACATAACTCAACACGTAGATCAGAAACGCACGTCTGCCGCGATACGTTCTCGCGAGCCACGAGCGGCGAGCCTGTACATCTCCACGCGGGGCATCCGCGAGAAAACGCCCCGTACCTGCGTGGGCGCGGCCCAATGGCCCGGCCCGCGAGGCCGCGGATACGGATATGTCTTTCGCCCATGCCGTTCGCCATCAGCACGCTGAGCCAACACGCAACGTGTTGAACCTGGACGTTTTGCTCACGGTTCGGTGGCAACTCATGGGAGCCTCTCGTACCATCTTGTTGGCTCTTGCGTGTCGACTATGATCGACGCTAAGTTATTCGATGCTAATCGACGCTGAATCTGCGCTACCTCATGAATTACACGCTAATCGGCGCGAGAGCACTCTAAAGAAAGACTTGCGAGGGTATACGAGGCTCCCATGATTTGCGACCGAATCACAATACGTTTTGCGTCCCAGCACTGGCGCATTAGGCCAGCTGCGACGGGGGCATTCCCAGCATTGTGCGGGGGCATCTGGGGCCGTCTTGGAAGCCTTTTGGTGAAGCATCTGGGGCCGTCTTGGTCGCCCCCTGGAGAAAACAAAAACACACCAGAAGTCGCATCCCCCAGGCCCTTAGGGTGGCCACCTTGGCAGCCAGAACGGGCTGAAACCATGTGTGGCGACGTTTCCTGCGTGTCGGCGTCCTTGGTCCCAGAGACGGAAAACAATCCCCTTCACCGTGCCGGGGGGCGAAATTGCAACCCCAGGGCAAGCGGCAGGGGAGGGTCCCACCCCCCAAGGACGGAAAGAAGCCCCGGGGGCTGGTTGGATGCTACGAACGTGGCGGCAGGCGGGCCGAAATCGTAGCAGGCCGTGGCCAAGCGCTGGAGAAACGGGCGGGCGGGCTCGACACGACCTTTCGACCCCCATCACGGCCGCGCGACGCCGTCGAGGGCTTGCCTCAGAGGGCAGGGCGCCAGAACAACAACGACGCTCTGGCGGATCCCTGCTTCGCCGTCTGCTCCTCCTCGACGCCGTGGTCCACCCAGTCGTCTGGCCCATCCCTGTCTTCTTCTTGCTCCTCCTCCTCCTCCTCCTCCTCCTCCTCCTCCTGCTACTCATGCTGCTCCTCCCTCCCCGTCCGCAGCGTGCCCACGCACGGACTGCCCACCACCGCTGCCGGCGCGCGCCCGGGCTCCGCCCTCCCTCCCGGGGGGGTGCGCGAAAGGCGAGCAGGGAAGGCCCGCCTGACGTCCGCCTTCGGGGCCATGGCCCTCGCCGCCCAGACGCCGGCTGCTTGCCGGCCGAGGGGGCTGACCACGGGCGGTCGGCTTGGGCCATCGCTGAGTCGAGCTGGCGGGGTCAGAGGGCAGGCGCAGACTGGCGGAGGGTTTTTTAGGGGGCAGCGGAGGCGACGCAATGGGTGGAAATCGTGGGTGGGAAAATTCGCCGTGGGACCAACCGCGTCGGTAAAATGGCACGTCCGTGTCTTGCGTGCGATGCTTTGCTCGTACCGCTGCGGCGTCACATTGCTGATATTGATATTCGGTCGGTAGCTCACTGTCGTGGAGTCGCGGTGTCGTGGTGCTGCGGTGTCGCTGTGCTGTACTGCGCCAAGCGTAATGGTGTGGAGTAGTTGTAGTGTCGTGGTGGCGCGGCGTTGTGGGCAGTAGGGTAGTGCAGTGGTCAGGTGAAGAGATCTTGAGAGCCTGAAGTAGCGAATGAGGCATGTTCCACACTATGCTATAATATTGCACTCCCTACTCTGACAACATTGAAACTACCCCCGTAGGGCCATAATGTACGTAACAGTGCGTCAGAAGCACGCGCTTACATGTAAGCAAGCTGTCATGAAACAAATCTCGGTGCCATGTGGCCCTGTACGCTGTATGACCGCAACCGAAAGTTGACACACTCAAAACTTGTACCACCTTCTAAGAAATCGAGGTTCAGCTTCGCTGAACTTCTTCACCTCTTGCGCGAGCCAGCTTTGGACACGAATTTTCTGAACGCAGCGCGGCGCCCGTCTTGGTGGTTGCAATAGAGATTGCGCTGGTGATTGCGCTGATGAATTTAGGTCGGGCATGTCCCCCTACAGGCGGATGTTTGACGACAAAAAAAATATCCTGGCGAAGGACCCAACCAGATGCAGTTGCGGGTGCCGCAATTGTGAATAGTTTCCTCGATGGCGCTCCCTATGGGGCCACGAAACGTGTGAGGGGTGTGCCGAAATCTGCGCGGTGGGCGCATGGGAGCGCAGCCACTGGGGCCTTCGCTGGAGCTCCGTATGGGGCCACGAAACGTGTGAGGGGTGTGCCGAAATGGGTGCGGTGGGCGCATGGGAGCGCACCCACTATGGCCTTCGCTGGAGCTCCCTATGGGGCCACGAAACGTGTGATGGGTGCGGTGGGCGCATGGGAGCGCACCCACTATGGCCTTGGGAGCGCAGCTGGGGGAGCTCCCTATGGGGCCACGAAACGTGTGAGGGGTGTGCCGAACTGGGTGCGGTGGGCGCATGGGAGCGCAGCCACTGGGGCCTTCGCTGGAGCTCCCTATGGGGCCACGAAACGTGTGAGGGGTGTGCCGAAATGGTGCGGCGGGCGCATGGGAGCGCAGCCACTGGGGCCTTCGATGGAGCTCCCTATGGGGCCACGAAACGTGTGAGGGGTGTGCCGAAATCTGTGCGGCGGGCGCATGGGAGCGCAGCCACTGGGGCCTTCGCTGGAGCTCCCTATGGGGCCACGAAACGTGTGAGGGGTGTGCCGAAATGGGTGCGGTGGGCGCATGGGAGCGCAGCCACTGGGGCCTTCGCTGGAGCTCCCTATGGGGCCACGAAACGTGTGAGGGGTGTGCAGAAATGGGTGCGGTGGGCGCATGGGAGCGCAGCCACTGGGGCCTTCGGTGGAGCTCCCTATGGGGCCACGAAACGTGTGAGGGGTGTGCCGAAATCTGTGCGGTGGGCGCATGGGAGCGCAGCCACTGGGGCCTTCGCTGGAGCTCCCTATGGGGCCACGAAACGTGTGAGGGGTGTGCCGAAATGGGTGCGGTGGGCGCATGGGAGCGCAGCCACTGGGGCCTTCGCTGGAGCTCCCTATGGGGCCACGAAACGTGTGAGGGGTGTGCCGAAATGGGTGCGGTGGGCGCATGGGAGCGCAGCCACTGGGGCCTTCGCTGGAGCTCCCCATGGGCCACGAAACGTGTGATGGGTGTGCCGAAATGGGTGCGGTGGGCGCATGGGAGCGCAGCCACTGGGGCCTTCGCTGGAGCTCCCTATGGGGCCACGAAACGTGTGAGGGGTGTGCGAAATGGGTGCGGTGGGCGCATGGGAGCGCAGCCACTGGGGCCTTCGCTGGAGCTCCCTATGGGGCCACGAAACGTGTGAGGGGTTGATGATGATGATGATGATGATGATGCTGATGATGGTGATGATGATGATGATGGCAGGAGGGAGGGGGCAGCGGGAGGAGGAGTGAACGCGGGGCGCTGTCTCTTCAAAACGAGGACCCAACACCACAGGATGGTTGGGAAATAGACTGGCGAAGGACCAACCAGATGCAATTGTGAGTACCGGTGTTGTGGGTATCGTCTTCGGTATCGTCTACGAGCCACGACATGCTACACTGGGCGGGGGAGACGCATGCATATTTTGCCACTGGGGCCTTCGGTGAGGTTCCCTATGGGCCACGAAACGCTGTACTGGGTGGGGGAGACGCATGTGGACACCGTCACAGGGGCCTTAGGTGGAGCCACCTATGGGGCCACGGCGCGCCGTGAAGGGTGGCGGGGACGCATGTGGACACCGCCAGTGGGGCCTTAGGTGGAGCTCCCTATGTGGCCACGAATCGCGGTGCTGGGTGGGGGAGACGTGTGGACACCGCCACTGGGGCCTCCGGCGGAGCTCTCTATGGGGCTACGAAGTGCTGTTCTGGGAGGGGAGAAGCACGTGGACAGCGCCACTGAGGCCGTAAATGGCATTTCCCATGGGGCCACGAAGCGCTGTGCTGGGTGCGGGGGCGCATGTGGACACCGCCGCTGGGGCCTTAGGTGGAGCTCGCCATGTGGCAAAGAAGCGCGGTGCTGGGTGGGGGAAACGCATGTGGACACCGCCGCTGGAGAATTAGGTGGAGCTCGTCATGTGGCCCCGAAGCGCTGCGCTGGGTGGGGGAGACGCATGTGGACACCGCCACAAAGGGTCTTGGGTGTAGCTCTGTATGGGGCCACGGCGCGCCGTGAAGGGTGTGGGAGACGCATGTGGACACCGCCGCTGGGGCATTCGGTGGAAATCCCGATGTGGCCACGAATCGCGGCGCTGGGTGGGGGAGACGCATGTGGACACCGCCACTGGGGCATTCAGTGGAGCTCCCTATGGGGCCACGGATCGCGGCGCTGGGTGGGGGAGACGCATGTGGACACCGCCACTGGGGCATTCAGTGGAGCTCCCTATGGGGCCACGAAGCGCTGTGCTGGGTGGGGGAGACGCATGTGGACACCGCCACTGGGGCATTCAGTGGGGCTCCCTATGGGGCCACGAAACGCTGTGCTGGGTGAGGGGGGGGGGGCGCATGTGGACACCGCCGCTGGGGCCTTAGGTGGAGTCCCTATGGGGCCACGAATCGCGGTGCTGGGTGGGGTAGACGCATGTGGACACCGCCACTGGGGACTTAGGTGGAGCTCCCTATGGGGCCACGAAGCGCTGTGCTGGGTGGGGGAAACGCATGTGGACACCACCGCTGAGGCGTTGGGTGGCATGTGGACACCGCCACTGGGGCCTTCGGTGGAGCTCTGTATGGCGCCACGGAGCGCGGTGCTGGGTGGGGGAGACGCACGTGGGCACCGCAACTGGGGCCTTAGGTGGAGCTCTTTGTGGGGCCACGAATCGCGGTGCTGGGTGGGGGAGACGAATGTGGACACCGCCGCTGGGGCCTTAGGTGGAGCTCCCTATGGGGCCACGGCGCGCAGTGCTGGGTGGGGTAGACGCACGTGGACACCGCCACTGAGACCTTGGGCGGGGCTCCCTCTGGGAGCACGAAGCGCGGTGCTGGGTGGGGGAGGCGCATGTGGACACCGCGGGGGAGATCTGGGGGGCGATCTGGAGGAGGATCTGAGGGCGGGATCCAAAGGACATCTGGAGGAAGATCGGGAGGGAGATCTGCGCCAGGATCCCGAAACAAAAACCTGGAGGAAGATCTGGGAGAGGATCTGGAGGGAACTCCAGAGAAAGATCTGCGGGAAAATCCAGTGCGAGATCTGGGGAAGACCTGGAAGAAGATCTGGAGAAAGTTTAGGGGAAGATCTTGAGGAAGATCAGGGAACATATCTGGAAGAAGATCTGGAGGATGATTTGGCGGGAGGTCTGGGGGAATATCTGGGGGGGATGTGATGGAGGATGCGGGCGAAGACCAGGGTTGGGGGGACCTGGAGGCTGATCGGAAGAACATGGATGAGCATAGGGAGGCATTTCAGGGGAACGATCTGGGGGAGCACAGGAGGAAGACTTGGAGGAGGATCCCGAAGAAGATCTGGAGGAATATCTAGAGGACGACCTGGGCGAACATCTGCGGATGCTCTGCGGGAAGACCAAAAGCTCTGGAGGAATATCTGGGTGTGATATGGAGGAAGATCTGAGGGAAGATCTGGAGAAAGGCTTTGAAGAACATCTGGAGGAAAACTGGAAGAAGATCCGGAGAAAGATCTGGACGAAGACCTGAAGAAAGATCTGGAAGGAAAATCAAGTGGAAGATCTGCAGGAAGATCTGACGGAACATCTGGAGGAAGATCCATTGTGAGATCTGGAGGATGATCTGCAAAAAGATCTGGAGGATGATCTGAGGGGCGATAATCAGAAGAAATAGTTAGAGAAAGATCTGGAGGAAGATCTGGGTGAGGATCCGGAGGGAAGATCTGGAGGAAGATCTCGAGGAAGATCTGGGGAAGACCTGGAGGAAGATCCGGCGGCAGATCGGGAGGAAGATTTGGAGGATCAGCGGGAAGATCCAGAGCGAGATCTAGGGGAAGATCTGGAGGAATAGCCCGAAGAGGATCTGGGGGGGTCTACGCGTTTTACAAACACACTTTTACAGTAGCATCGTCAATGTATCTAGCCGCCTTCACTGCATCCCTCGTTGCATGTCATTACCATTGTTTGGCTGCAGTTTCGGCTCGAGGGGTTTGAGAGGCGGGCAGCCCCGCCTTTTCTCGAGCCTTCGAGCGCACCAGCCTTTCAGGTGTTCGAGGCGCCCGCGCGCTCGCGGGCGATCGGGGCCCCGCTAGGCCCTGGGGCGAGGCCGCTGGCCCGT